ACAGTCATCCTCCTCATCTCTGCCTCCTGAGTAGCTAGGATTACAGGCATAAGCCACTGGTGCCTGGCTTAAACTGTTTTCTTCCCTCTTTGTAGGATACTGAATGAACAGGCACGCCCTCTCCCTATCTAATACAATGTACATTGATTCTCAGCAATGCCTAATATGATAAAGAATATCTTTGATATCCAGCACCCAGCACCCACACCCTTAATGGTCAAATAGTAGATGTGCTCTCAAATCATGAATGCAGATTGACTTGCCTTCTCTTACTATGCTGTTTCACATAGTCTAAGGAACTAGGGATATGGCTCAGTGGTAGAATGATGGCCTGGCATACATCAGGCCCTGGGTTCAAACTCTAGCATCCAAAAACAAAACAAAACAGAACAAAAAACAGTGTAAAGAATTTCACCCAAAACAGTAAGGGGATATATTGAAAAAAATGAAAGTCCATAATAGAATTATGTGCAGATAAATGATTTACCTATAAAACCAAAGATAAGCAAGCGAAATACTGCTAGGCTTTTAATAGAAATTTCTTAAGTAATAAATACAAAAGAAATTTTAAAAATCAATACATCCTCTATATACTAGCAGGAAATTCTTATAAAATATATCAGAAAAAAATCTTATTCACAACAATAACACAAACACAAATAAAATCAACAATAAGTAATCATAGCAAGAACTGCCTAGTACTTATTTTGCGATTTTTTTTGGGGGGTAATGATACTGGGGTTTGAGCTCAGGGTACAGTGCTTCTAGGCAAATGCTCTACCACTTGTTTAGTAGCTAGATGAAGAAAACTACAAGGTTAGGAGTGTAGAGCACTTGCCTAACATGTGCAAGGCACTGGGTTGCATTCACCATTGCTAAAAAAGCCCCCAAACAAACTAAACAAACAAAACTACAAGAAGTTCTATTCTATGACCCAACAATTCGTTATCTAGAAATCTACTCATGGTTCAAAGATTTGTTAGTAAAACGTTAAATTCTAAAACATTAGAAAAATCCAACTATCCAAGAGTAGGAGAAAGTTACATAAAATTATCAAGTATCTTGCCTAGGCTGGCCTCAAACTCAGATTCTTTTACCTTGGCTCCCCAAGTAGCTGGGATTATGGGCGTGTGCCACCACACCCAGATAATTATGGTACATCTTTATGATCAAATTTTTACAACCATTAAAGACTTAAGGTTTATTTAATGACATGAGAAAATGCTAAGATGCTATTCTGAAAAAAAGCAGAATACAAAATTTCTATGCCATGTTCATTTGATTTAACAGTGGGCAGTCAATTCTTTTTTCCCATTATTTTCTGAAGTATCCCTACCCCTACCACTCAGTTACATGACAACAAACTTCAAATTTTTCTCATTATCCTGCTTTCTTTTCACTCCAGCTAATCAATGGGCAATTTCATTCATTCCAAAGGCTTTAATCCACCTATAAAGACCCCTAATCTATTATCTCCTTATAACTATTTTTCTTTTTGTGAGACAGGGTTTCACTATATATCCCCGACTGGCCTCAAACTCACTATATACCCCAGGCTGGCTTCAAACTTGAGATTCTTCAGCCTCCCAACTGTTGGGATTACAAGCCTGTGTCACCATGCCTGGTTTATAATCTAATTCTTTTCCTTGGCAAACTACCTTAGCTAATCTTTATCTACCTAGAAATCCAGGTGAATTTCTGTTATTCCAAATCCTGTTCCTTGAAATCCTTCAGTTGTACTCTCTTAAATAAGATCTACATCTCAGATGCTGTTACTCTAAATTGAGACATTCTCCTTTTACCAGGACAAATGCAACAGGTTAACTAGTCTATGATTTTAATTTCTTTAACCCATGCTATAAGAATGGTTTTCTAAAGTGCAAAATTCATCATCCCTCTCCACTATTCACATTTTACATTTCTGTGTGATGTCATGAAGGTTCAAACAGGAAGAGATGCACGTTTTGCCAAGGTTAATTCATTCATAGCTCACCTAAACTCTGCTACCTTTTCTGTTTGGGGAAGGGGAATAGTTAACTAAAGCAGATGTTGGAATGAAAAAAGAACCTCAGGAGAGTGACTGAGCTCATGGATAATGCATGGAACTAAGCTTAATGACTGACTGAATTTTTCTCAACAAACTGGTCTTAATCATATTAGAGCCATTAATATCTTCTCCCCAACCCCAGGCTCTGCTGTGGATCTTCCAAAGTGCTATCCATAGAATGTCCAGTCTTTCAGGCCTGCTTTCCTTGGTTTACCTCTGCTTAACCTACCTTGTGTTAATCTTTGCTATGGAACTGACACTTGCCCTGTATCCTAGGCAGTCCTATACCTAGGCCTAAGCATAGGCCAATGCCCTAGGTCTTCACTAACCTAAACTATTCTGTCCACTGAACAAAACCATGCATACAATTTTTGCAACATGGTGAACCAAAATAATCATTTTCCCCATTCCTAGTTCTCTGCTGAAAAGTGTCATTTGTTTGCACAGGAGACTGGTTTTTCTAGGATCTAGTAGCTACAGTGGTTGGGAAGGTTGTACAGGTGATGGCAGTAGGCCATATAGGGCAGGAGACCTGAGAAAAAGTCTGCTGGGCCTTTTGGTTTTTCTCTATAATATAAAGTCATGTGCAGAAGGAAAATATTCCTTTCCTTGGCAGGACATACTCATGCCTGCATGTGACATCACTGTGTAACCATGTTGATAAGAAAGCAGCCATACAGAAAGTGGGAAGGACTTGGGTGGTTTTTTTTGGCAGTGCTGAAGTTTGAACTCAGGGCTTCACGCTTGCTAGGCAAGCCCTCTTACTACTTGAGTCACTCTTCCAGCCCTGGACTTGGTTTTTAAGGATGCTGTTGAGTCACACTAGATCCATCTTGCTTCTGGGTGACCTCTTATAGGAGAGGCCACTTAAATGTACCCAGCAGAATGAGCAATCATGTGTAATTTATTACTCACCCAGGTGTGCCTAGAGCAGTGCCTATTGTAACTCCCTTATCTAATAACGCACTGGTTCTAGTATTCTAAGAACAACAAATAAACAAAATCCCAAACCAATCCCAAGTTTACCATAATGATATAGAAAATAAACAAATGGTGAGTGATGGTGGTGGGTACATTCTTTTTGAATAGAGTTGAGTTGACAAACTTTGGTTAAGAGGTTGACCAGCTCCTTAGCTGTGTGTCTAGAGTCCATATATTGGAAACCACTTACTAGACAAGTGAGCAGTGTCTTCCTGCACTTTCTTTGTTCCAGAATGAGGTCAACTATGTAAGTAAAGTTACTACCTTATCTTAGAAATTGGTCAGTATTTACCTATTTGTAGATAGTGACACTGTCCAAACTGGAGTTAGCTCCTGGACAATGTCTGAGAATTATGACAATACTAGATAAGGATTAAAGATACAATTTCTTTCTCTAGTACTCCTGTAAAGATAGCAGAACAAAAAAAATTTTTTTTAATGAACAAACTGAAAACATTGGCAAAATTACCACCTTGGCCTTTTATGTATGTTTAGGGTGATCAAGTTTTTTTCTTTGCATGCTAAAAGGAACTTTTCATTATGGTTTAAGATGTATTATCACCTTCTTGCTTGTTACTCAATAACCTCTCAAAAAAAGAGGAGCGAGTGCAAGTTCATTTATGATACAGAGCAGATTTTTAAGCCCAAAACCTTGTGAAACTCAAACTCCAGTTTTTTTTTTTTTTCTTCTGTTTTTCTTTCTAAGTACAGTATTGGGGTAGAACGCAGGGCCTGGTGCTGGCTAAGCAGGCCCTCTACCACTTACACTACTCCACCAGTACTTTTGCAGTGGTTATTTTTGAGATTAGATCTCTCTCCCAGACCATGCTTCTTCTAGAGTAGCTGAGTTGCTTCTTAGAGTAGCTGAGATGACAGGCGCACACCATCGCACCAGTCATTGGTTGAGATGCATATCCTGACATGAGGTAATGTGAAGTACGAAGTACAGCTTCTGAAGTATTCTTGTCCCCAAAAATGAGACATAAAACTAATCAGGCCTTTATAGTTAATTACCAGTGTGCAAGAAATATAGATGAAAGAAAACAATGTAGACAATACCAGAAGGAAACAGACAAATCCAGAAAGTAGAACATTCTATATGAAAGCAAACTCAGTTTCAACAAATCAATGACATAGAGGAATATTAACCAATTATAATGTGTGGAACTTGTTTAGATTCTGATTTGAACACACTAAATGTAGAAAGACATTTTTGAGCTACCTTGAGAAATTTCAATATGGATTGGGTGTTAGAGAACACCAAAGAATTACTGTTACTGTTAGATGTGATGATAATGGCATGGTAGCTATACAAAAAAATGTCCATGTTCTTAAAAGAGCCATACCTAAATATGTAGGGGTGAAAAAGTCTGATGCCTTAGGCTTTCTTAAAAAATACATCATATATACAAATAATATTAAGTAGGAATAGGTAAAGCAAGTATAGCAAAGTTTTGATAATTACTGGGTTTAGGTACAGGCATATGGGGTTCATGATACTGCTCTTTATACTTCTGTGTAGTTTTGAAATTTGTAGTAAAAAATTTAAAGATGTAGGCATAAAGAGAGATAGCTATCTTAAGAGTAAACAATCTGAATGGAAGTCGAAGAAAGTTATTTTAGTTATGCTGTCATTTAAAACAAATGTGGCCAGGCAGTGGTGGCTCAAGCCTGTAATCCTAGCTACTCAGGAGGCAAAGAACAGGAGGATCACAGTTCGAAGCCAGCCTGGGCAAACAGTTCGAAAGACCCTATCTTGAGAAAATCCATCTCAAAAAAGGGCTAGTGGAGTGGCTCAAGGTGTAGGTTCTGAGTTCAAGCCCCAGTAGCAAAAATAAACAAAAAAAGTAGTTTTTCAAAGTACACTTCTCAGATAAGATGTTCTATGTACCCATGTGAGTTTTTTTAATCCCCGTTGAGTGTGCCATTGCATATTTATTGCAAATGAATTTCTACATTGCTAATAAATTACCTGTTGTCAATAATCATTACACAGGAAGATGGAATCCCCAAAACATCACAGCTCTGCAAAAGTTCTTTCTTTCGAATCTCTCCTTGATTGTAGTAATTTCCTGAGGATAACAAATACAGTGGTATATTTCTTTAACAGTGGAGACCTATCTGTTTACTTATTCTTATCCTGTCTTGTTCCTTAGAGAACTAAAGCTACTGAAAAAAATGTGTGATTGTGATAAAAAGTTGAAGAAAATATAACACTTCATAGGAGGACTATCAGCAGCACAATTTTTTTTTTTTTGGTTTTGGTAGTACTACAGCTTGAACCTCAGGGCCTTGCATATGCTAGGCAGGAGTTCTATCATTTAAGCCATGCCTTCAGAAGCACACTTTTTTAGCACCATTTACAATGCTTATCTATCTATCTACCTACCTATCTATCTATCTATCTATCTATCTATCAACATTTCAGTGTGCTAGAGGAAACATAGTACATCTTAGAGTTAAGCAGAATTGAATTGACCTTTGTATAATCACTCAGGGCCACTGGGGTCTGTGTGCAGTATCAGTTTGGGCTCCTTTACTATTTTGAGAAAGGACCTTGCTATGTAGTCCAGGCTTGCCTTGAACTCTTGATTTTTTCTGCCTCACTCTCCCAAGTGCTAGGGATTACAGGTATGTGCCATCATACCTGGTTTGGGCTCCTTTAAATTGATAGTCCAGGGCTTAGGGTAGAGCCCAGTAGGTAGAGTGCTTACCTAGTAGGTATGAGGCCCTGGGTTTGATTTCCAGCACTTCACTCACACATACAAAAATAGTTTACAAATATCTAACATTTAATTAAAGAAAAGGGTGCTACTCTGCATATCATAGGAAAATATGCAGGGATCATTTAGGAAAATATTCTCTCTTTTAAGAGTTTAGTAACTAGCACCCCATCAACACCTGAAAAAGCTTATGTATTTATTTTCCCAACATATATACCATAGTCCCTAACAATAGTTCTTTGCTGTAGTCTTACAAATAATAATGTAATGAAATTTTGATATCATTTGACTTACACACTCATTGTGCAGATTTCTCACACACTCTTAGTGAGCAATCGCCTATCTAACATACTCTTTAATTCAATTTTCCAGCAAGTAATTGCATGGGTGATTTGTGCAAGCTATGTAACTTCCCTGAGCTAGTTTCTGTACCTGTAAGGAGGGGATAATTAGGTTAGCTTACATGGCTTTCTGGAGGCCTGTATGAGATAATACAAATCAAAGTACCCAGTTAGGTACTGGGTTAATTTTCTCTTTCCTTCAACTCTATTTTTACCTCCTACCTCCTTTTTCCTTTCTTTCTGAATTACAATTCATTTTCATCATCCAGATCAAATGTCAAATGCCTTTTCCTGTTTTCCCTGGCAAGTAATCATTTCCAGTATTCTCCTACTAAGTATAAACTTGTTTCTGTGATCAGATTATTAATTCCCAAATGTCACTGGCCTTAAAAGTCATGGCCTCATTTAATTTTGTATCATCACCAATATCCAGCACACTGCGGGCATTCATGAAGGACTGAACAAAGAGCAGGTAACACAGAAAAACTCCCATGTGAAACCTTTCAACTTTGGCAGAGATTATTATAGTGCTAGCTTTAAACTGTTTGAACCCGCATAGGAGACAGTTATTACATTATATCCAAAAAAGAGACTAAAATTTAAGATTGTAAGCAACAGCTTCAAATTTTGTATTGCCCTCATTACACTTCTTTTTTTCAGTTTTCTTTTCTAGCAATCAGTTGGAAACTAGAGTAAATTTTGTGATGGACTTTTATTTTAGGTTTCTTTCAAATCCATATACATACATTCTTCTATATATTTTTTTCAAGATTTCTTATTCTTTGGTGTTAAGTGAAGAGTCCAGTGCATACTAATGATGTAATTCCTAACTTTAGAGTTTATGCACATCAGTCTATAATTAGAATTGTAAGAAACTGCCCAGAAGTGGGATAAATGTATTTATGAGGCTAGTTTTATTTCTTTTGTGTTTGAATTAAGGAACTTACAAGTTAAGAAGTTGAAGCCAGAGACCACTTGAATTATTTTCACAAAGTTTGGTGATATGCAGGGACTCAATAGAATACATATCTGAGCCTCTGCCACAGCTTTTGACTGGTACACTAGGACAGTGTCCAGGAAGGATGGTATACCCTGCGATGCGCAAGATAACTTTCTGGGTGAGGAAAAGGATTAGAATGCCTTCTCTGAATTTGTTACGTTATCTTCTATAATGTAAAGTTTTTGTTAATGTTTTATAACATATACATTAGTTCAAAAAATTATGAATGTACATATAATGGGAATACATGCTCAAAAATTTTCACAAATAGGAGAAACGTTTGGAAATCATTCTAGGAAATGGAAAAAATAATTCATGTAGATTTCTTTTTTTTTTTGGTGGGACTGGGGTTTGAAATCAGGGTCTCATACTTGCTAGGCAGGCGCTCTACCACTTCAGCCACTTTGCCAGCCCTTTTTCGTGTTGGGTATTTTCGAGATAGGGTCTCATGAACTATTTGCCAGGGCTGGCTTTGAACGGAGAACCTCCTGATCTCTACCTCCTGGTTAGCTAGGATTACAGACACGAACCACTAGCGCCTGGCCTCATGTAGATTCCTTTCCCTTCCCCTTTTTCCTTCCTTTTCTTTTTGCAGTAATGGGGTTTGAATTCAGGGCTTACACCTTGAGTTACTCCACCAGCCCTTTTCTGTGATGGGCTTTTTAAAGAAAGGGTCTCGAGAACTATTTGCCTGGGCTGGCTTCAAACTATAATCCTTGTGATCTCTGTCTTCTGAGTAGCTAGGATTACAGGCATGAGTCACCAGTGCCTAACTAGATTTCTTTATACAGAACTTCATTATGTATATATATAGTGCATAAACTCATGTATAATTGTTAGGTAATACTTTTCAGTCATAACTAGAAACCAGAATCTAACAGAAATTAAAGTTACTTTGTAAAGACTTGAATTTATATATCACAATGTATAAGTTTTCCACCTGGAAAGTTTTAATTTTTTTTTTTTTAATTGTCCTCTTGTGCCTTTAAGAGCCAGCTCTATTCTTAGGACTGCCCTCCTAAACTGAGAGGGAAATTGCTGTGTGTCCTGCCAGACTATCCTGTTAGAGCAGAGCACAAGGGAGCAGACAAAGCACAGGCCAGGACAATAGGGCTTTAATTTGTCAGGATGAGAAGTGGACTGGGAGAAAAAGCATCACTATAGTTCCAACACCACCTAGCTGCCTATAACTACATGAATTTGGAGAAATTCCTACATTCCCAAGTTTCAGGAATGCCAGCAAAATTTTTTCTTGAATAGTAGCAAGTAATTTTTAAGCATATTTTGAATAAACAAGGTCCAAGTTTCTTTCACTATAAAATGAGGAAGTTTAGGTTCAGTGTCAAGTTCTATCCAGAAAAAACTGAAACTATATCGAATATTTACAACAGCAGAGATTTAATGAAAAGATTTTCATACATAACTGTTGGAGATCTCAGAGGCAAACAGGAAACAGTGAAGTGACCCAGAGGTTAGAGACAGCAAAAAGTGATTACCAACCTATGGTTGGAGAGTTAAAGATAAGAGGTAGTGTCACTGAAGCCTAGAGATCAGGGCTCCCAAAGGAAGCTGAAGCCAGGAGGACTGGAACCCTTCTCTTAGAATTGTCTATAGAACCCAGATTAAGAAATCATGATTTAAAAATGAAACTAGAATTAAAAACAGGCAAAGGATTTAACTAGACATTTTCCAAAGAAGGTAATCATTGGCCAACAAGCACAAGAAAAGGTGTTCATCAACATAGTACCACTTCATACCCACTAGGATGGCTATGGTCATAAAAGTTAAAATCCCAAGTGCTGATGAGGATGTAGAGAAAGTTGGTACCACAGTACATTGCCGGTGGGAATGTAAAACAGTGCAGTGGCTGTAGAAAGCAGCTTGACAATTATTCAAAAATTTAAACACAAGGGGGAAGGGGGTAGAAATGACCCAAACATTGTATACACATATGAATACAAGAAAAAAAAAAAAACCCAAAATTTAAACACAAATACTCAAAGGAATTGAAAATGCTACTCAAACAGATATTTGTACATCAATGTTCACAGAAGCATTATTCGAAATAGCTAAAAAGAAAAATCCAAATGTCTGTCAATGGACAAATGAGTAATTAAAATGTGGCATATACATACCACAAATTATTCTTAACATTTGGGAGGCTGAGGCAGGAGGATCTTGAGTTTGAGGCCAGCCTGGGGATAATGGTGAGACCCTGTCTCAAAAACAAAACAAAACAAAAAAAAATCAGAAATAAAAAGGAATGATGCTGATATATGCTATAATATTGAGGAATTTGTTTATTAACATAATCCAGACATAAAATAACAATTATGTAGGATTCTACTTATATGAGGTGTCTATAATAGTCAAATTCATAGATAGAAAGCAGAATGGTAATTGTCAGAGGCTGTAGGGAGGAAGGAATAGGAGCATTGCTTAATGAGTTACAGAGTTTCTGTTTGGGATGATGAAACAGAAGTGAGGATTACACAATCTTGTGGATGTAGTTACTGCTACCTAATTGTATACCTAAAAATGTTTCAAATGATAAATTCTGTGTTATGTATATTTTACAATTTAAGAAAACACTAAAAAAGGAAATTAGATTTTCACTGAATAAAAATCATTTATGAATAAGTTATCACTATAAAACAAAAATTATGCCTGTACGATTGATAAAACAATTTTTTAAAGGAGCACTGAACTAAAAAAAAAAAAAGAAAAAACTGAGCACTTATTTACGCAGCCATTATCAAGAAACACTGCTATGGGCTGGGGACGTAGCCCAGTGGTAGCGTTCTTGTCTAGTATGTGCAAGGCCCTGGGTTGGATCTCTGGCACTACAAAACAACAATGAAACCCAATAAGCACTGCCATGTGCTATTCCCAGTCAATCTAGCTATACTTGTGAGTGGTTTGGTTTTTCATTATTCCCCAAAATGACTGCATTCATACTGATGTTTACTTATGGAAATGCTATTTTGTTAGTTTCTTTGATCTGTGACTTGATAGTCATTAACAAGGCCAAACATACGAGAAACATCTTTTTCTGTATCAGACAGAATGAGAAACAGGCACGAATGAGAACAGCATCCAGCAGTGAAGTTATAACAAGTATTTTCAATACCAAGCTCTTCAAAATGCATTACATTTTGCTGACTACTCCCATCCTATGCTTCTGCCAGATTAGTACTACGGCATTTTCCTTTTTCCATTTATATTTTTTCTTTTCACTGTTCATTTTTATAAGCACTTATATACTACATTAGGTTTAAAATAGGGTATCTAAACTACCTGGCATATAAATTCTAAGCTAATTATTAGAGAAAGGTAAGTAAATATAATTTAGAAATGTATAATTCTGCTGGATGTGGTGGTGCACACCTGTAATCCTAGCACACAGGAGGCTGAGACTGAAGGATTGTGAGTTCCAGGCCAGCCTGGCTATATAATGAGTCTAAAAAAAAAAAAAAAAAAATCAAGTATAAAATGCTAATAAAAAGGCTTCTAGTTAACCCATTGGCACAACTTTATGAATAGGTATTGTTTAAAGGTAGTCATTGTATGTCTTTGTATTTTTTGGTTAGTATGATAAACATATCAACTTAAACCCTAGAAAAAAGCTCCTCAGTATTTAGATACGTTAGTAAATAGTACCAGTGAGAAATATGTAACTTTTGAATGATCTTCTCAAATTTTTCTAACTCCCTGAAAGAAATATAATTCATACTCAATACTTAAGGTCAGAATTTTTTAGAAATCTCAAATGTTATTGGGTTAAAAGGATATTATTGACAGATGAGACTAACACTTTTAGGGCTGGATTTAAATACATCTCAATAAGGACACTAAAAAATTAAATAACCTGATAAGTTCTATTTTAGGAAATATAATAAATCATGTTTGGAGAAACTCTTAACATACATGAACATGTGAAACGAAACATGTTCTAGAATGTGTGGTGGAACTAGCAGGACAATAAAGGCTTTATTTCAAGGACCAAAACAACAGGTAAGCATAAATCCTGAGAAGTATTATGGGTCAGAACCTAGGGCACTTTGAAAGTATCTGTACTTCGTTAGCAGTCTAACATCAGGGGTCTAGAGCCTACATACAAATGAGATGTCTGTACAAAGATAAGGACCTTCAGAAGGTCCTATACTTTCAGCTGATGAAGTAGGAAAAAACCCAGCCTAGATTGAGATCCTGAGACTACATTCCTTTCTCAGACTTTGTTTTAGGAGAAGGGAAAATAAAAAAAGTCACTCCCTAAGAATTCTTAACCACGAACTCACCTTTACTTGGTGTGATTGACTGTGTTTTCCACAAATAGCTACTACAACATTTCTAGTCCCATGTGCACTCTAGAACCTTGATGTTCCCCATCAACAGGTGAGTCTACTCTTCTTGGACTTGTAACTACTTCAACAAGGAGACTGTAGCAGAAGGGATACTGCATGATTTCTAAGGGTAGGTTTTAAAAAATAGTGCGGCTACTCCTAACAGAGATTCTCTCTCAGGATACCTTCCCAGGAACCCAGGTTGTGTGGAAGTCCAAGCCACAAGGCCACTAGGATACTCAAGTGATTGTTGTTGACATCTCTATCGAAGTCCCTATATGACAGGTAAACATCTGAGTGGGATGAGTCTTTAGATGACTCCAGTTCCCAGTATTCAGGTCCTCAACTGAGGTACAAAACATTGTGGAGCAGACACACTGTGCTCTGTCTGCAGCCATGACAAAGAAACTATTGTTACTGTTTCAAGCCACCAAATTTTGAGATAATTTGTTATGTAGCAGTAGATAACTAATACACTTAGATTTGGAGCCTGATTTATACTCAGACTTAACTAAATTTGAGAGGGCTGTGGCTCAAGTAGTAGAGGGCTTGCCTAATAAGCATGAGGCCTTGAGTTAAAACCCCAGTACAGCAAGGAAAAAAAAAAAAAAGCAAATTTGAGAAACACTAAATAAATTTCCTTCCTTTCTTCCTCCCTCCCTCTCTCTTTGTATAGCAAGACTTCTCAAAGACACTGATACTCTCCTAAGGACTGTGAACCTTTAAATGAGATAGCATATTTGGTTGTTTCCCAAACTTGTCAAACCAAGTTTGTTTTTTTTTTTTTTTTTTTAATAGCAGTTTGATGAGCTAATGTTTCTTGAAATGTACACTGGGAATCAATACAGATATTTTGTCAATGGACATGGTACATAAAAACAATATGAGAGGCAGACAATATAGATGTAATGGTTTAGAACAGAGAGGAGCCACAGGACTCCTCTAAATTGTAGCTATCCCCTTTAGTTGTTAAACCCCTTGTGATTCAGTTGTCATATTTATTTAATTCAATTTTTTTTAACGGTACTGGGACTTGAACTCAGGGCCTCGCACTTGCTAGGCAGGCACTCTACTACTTGAGCCACTCTACTAGCTCAGTTGCCATAATTGTAAAATAGTATAATAGTATCTCACAGCATTGTTGAGAGGATTAAAAGAGACACCAGTAGCAAAATTTTACTTATTTTTTCCTGCTTCTCCCTTCCCCTTAAATTGGAGATCTAGTCATAATGAATTATTTATACAAGTCCAAGACTAACTGATGCCTTTACTTCTGCCTACAATGACTGACCTGCCCTGCTTTCTATATAATCTGTCTCTATTTTAAAAGCCCAAACTAAAAGAAAACCTATTTGGAGAAGCTTTCCTTAATCTAACCTCTTGAAAAAAAAGAATTAATGAATTTCTCCACTTGTGCCCATAGTGTAATTAATATACTTAACAGAACCATACTGAGAGGAAAAATGTTTAGACCCAAATTCTCAATAAATATGAAAGATGACTTAATCTTATGGATAGCAAAAAAAAAATCATTTTAGGAAAAAAAAATTAAAACAAGAACTTTATGAAAAATAATGTGGTAGAGTGCTTGCCTAGCAAGTACAAGGCCCTGAGTTCAAAACCTCAGTACTACACACACACACACACACACACACAAAACCCCAAAAAACACCACAGAGGATAATATAGTGAGAGTTCCTCTCATTACTACCAATCAGAAGGTAAATTGGCATAATGTTTTTTGGGAATGTGGTTTGCATGCAAAGTCTGAAAATAGTCAATTTTAGAAATTAGTCTTAATGAGGGTGAGAATGGTGGTATACACATATGGTTCCAGCTACTCAGGAGGAAGAGATGAGAGGACAGAGATCAGAGGCCAGCCTGGGCAAAAAATTAGTGAGACCCCACTACAATAATAATCTGGCTGTGGTGACTAGTACCTGTAATGTCAGGTATGTGGTTGGTGGGAGACATAGGTAGCAGGATCTCAGAGGCTGGCCTCAGGCAAAAACTGAAAACTGTACCTGAAAAATAACTAAAGTGCTGGCACTGGTGGCTCACACCTATAATCCTAGTTACTTAGAAGGCAGAGATCAGGAGGATCAGTTTGAAGCCAGCCTAGGGAAATTGTTCTCAAGGCCCTATCTTGAAAAACCCTTCAAATGACCCAAACATTGTATGCACATATGAATAAAAAAAAAAAAAAACCCTTCATACACACACACACACAAAATAAATAAAATAAAAAATAGGTCAGGGTGAAGGCCCTGAGTTCAAGTGCCAGTACCCCCGCCCCCAAAAAAAGTCTAAGGCAAAAAAGGGCATGGTTCAAGTGGTGGAGTGCCTGCCTAGCAAGTGAGGTCCTGAGTTCAAATGCCACACCGCCAAAAAAAAATCAATCCTAATGAAACAGACATTGAATAAAGTCTAGGACAAATATTTAATAAACATGCTAAACAAATGAAAAAACAATGTTATGTGAAAAGACTAAAAATGCATAAAATGTGACTTCAGTGAACAATCTGTGTAGAAGTGGAACTCCACACAATCAAATGGGAAAAGAGGTCATAAGCAATTTTAAAAATAAAATTCACTCATTGCATTTATACAGTTCAATAACTTCAGTTATAAAGTTGTGCAGTTATCACCACAATTAAGCATCACGGTCAATTTTTGTTTCCTCGGTTAATCTTTTCTGTATCATAACGAAAGGCATAATCTTTGAAAAGCTCCTTCGCTGAAAGTTGGGTGGGATGCACGCTAAAATTATCTACAAAGTTACCTTTTATCTAATCATCTGAGATAACTCCTCCAATCTGACACATGCATCTTTCTAGCACATTATGGATTTCAAAGCAGCTATCATTAGAAGAGAAACTTGAAGGATTGAGCAGGCAAGACACAGCATAGATCCTGTTTGGTGTATGAAATATTAAGATCATTATTCTTGTTCCTTCTGCAAATAAAGGTTTCACAGAATAACAAGCACAGCAGCGGTTCTCAACAGAAATACAGGTACTGAATGGAACCAACGGTTCTGCTCCTCAATCCTGCCGCACTCTGTAGACCTCCCCTAACCCACCCGGGATTCCGGTCGCTCCTATTCCCAGCCTGTGCGGGGTCCAGAGAAAGAACCTTCGGTTTATTCACTTAAACAACAGGGAACCCTCGGGAAGACATCAACTGACATCAGTTAGTAAGCCCTTCACAGCCCCAGCGCCCAGCGCCCCGCCTTCGGCCTCCTACCTGCAGAGAAGCAGAGCAGGGACACCTGGTGCTTCAGGCGGACCAAGCCTAGCACTGTGGGAGCAAAGAACATGGCTTCATCATCCGGGTGCGCGATCACCAGGAGGGCCCGGCTTCCGACTTCCAGCAAGCCCGCCTGCCTGGGAGTCTCCATTCTTCCTGCTGAGTCCCAAACCCAGAGTAAGCCACATGCCAGCACCGCCACCACCACACACAGCAGAGCCTCTACTTCCATGCAGAGTTGGTGGTGCTGCGCCTGCGCAATAGGGAAGGCGGCCTTCGACTTCGGGTCCGGCAGTGACACTGTTCCCGCTGAAATTGCGTTCCGCCTTTACGTGTGCGTAAAGTGAAGTTTGTGGTCTAACACGGAAACCTCCCGGCATATTGTGTTCGCTCCATCTTTGACAGCGTTTCCGAAGTCTTGTGTCTGTTTCGGTTTAAGAGCTGACCCGAATTTAATATCCCTGTCTACCTTACAGTATAATGTGTTTAAAAGGAAGCATTTAAAAATAGACTTTGGTAGGAAAGAGTTCCCTCCTCCCTCCAACTCAGTTCTTATAATTTGGGACTTTCATTAATTATATAGACAGCCCCGTTATCCGGATGAAAGTTTTCCAAAACGTCCTAAATGCATCAACTTTGTTTTTCAGTTTCGGTATATAGATGGTGTCTTTTTCCAAAGGAAAAGAATGCGGTTATGAGAAAATGTCCTCATTTCTGTAGAAGAGTAAGGCTGAGTAAGAGAAGGGCACATTAGCCGGTTAAGGAGCGACATCGTGCACAAATCGGCCTTTTGGCGAGGGCTTAGGGCGAAGTACTGGGTAGGTCGCCGGGCAGCACAGCCTCGTGGGGCCCGGCTTCCCTCCCTGCACGCCCAGGCGGGCGGAGGCCGCGGCCGCCGCCGGGCAACACCGCAGAGGGGTCGTAGGTCCGAGGCATCGCCTGGGATCCTGTCCCTTTCCCACGCCCGGGGGAAGACCCCGAGCGCGCGGGAGCAACCGGCTCGCGGCGTCGCCCCAGGCCGGGTGGATGATGGCAGCGGGACCGTCGCTGCCTGAGCTAGTTTGCGTCCGACGGGGAACCGCGGGCGCCAAGCCGAAGGGAAGACGTGAAGGGACCTGGCACGAAGCGACCCACGAAACTCGGCTGAGGTAGGAGCGGCGCCCCGCCAGGGTAGGGAGTCGGTCTCCCAACCCTCCGGAAGGAGGAGGAGCCCGCGTCGGAGCCGCCTTAGCCGCGGCCGCCCGGGGTAGGGGGAGGGAGAGGGGTTGAGTCAAGATGGCGGCCAAGGTGGCGAAGCAGCAGCAGCGGCAACGGCGGCGGCGGCTGGAGTGAGCGCCCGGCTCGCCGCGCCGAGCGAGGGCCCGGCATAGAGCCGCACGCCGGAGCCGCGCCCTGTTCCTCACGGTCGGGGGGCGCGCCAGCTCCCACGCTCCGCCAGCTCCGGGTGAGTAGGCCGCCCCGGAGCCCGCAGCCCCGGCCTCCGGGCCCCAGCTCGCCCGGGGGCTTCCGAGGACTCCCGGTGCACCGGCCGCGGGGGCAGCTTCCCAGCCGGCCGAGGGACGTCGCGGGTCCCGCTAGCTTTGGAACCCGTCCTGGCCTTCCGGCCTCTTCCTCTCGGCCGCCCGGGAAAGGACCGGGCGCGGCGGGGAGCCCGGGCTGGGGGAGTGGAGGCTTATGGAGTTTGGTGAAAGAATAGGCTGCGCCCGGGCTCGGGCCGCCTCAGAGGGGTCCTGTGGGGACCCGGCGTACCGAGCCTGCAGGGCTGATCGAGGGGACGCCGGGGCCGGGTTACCCCCCACCTCCCGGGTGGGGCCGGTGCAGGTGGCGGGCCTAGGCGGACTTGGTGACCGTCGCGGGAGTGTGGAAGGGGTTAGGGAAGGGTGACAGCGGGGGACAAGCGTGTGAACAGCCAACTCGCTCACCCTGCTTCAGGGTGTAATGGCGAAGGGTGTGGGTCGTGATAAAGACGGCCAGGAGCCGAACCCCATACCGTCCGCCGTGTGTCATTGGCCAGGGCACCTCTTTTAGGGGGGGACAGGAATTTGAGAAACTACAATTGAGAAATCCACCTTAACGGAGGGGGAGACTGAATTCTTGAAATTAACTGGATCAGGAGCAGCCAGGCAGTAAAGGAATGGATGGGAATAAGTGGTATTTATGAAAAGTATTTGCTCGGGAAATGTCAGTTGGATGCCACAGTCTCTCTTCAATAGAGTTTTAACCTTGGAGAGGAGTAGTATGGGTAATTCTAGTCTTTGGGATTAGTGTATTCACCTGCATCAGATTTGTTTCCCTAATTATATCCTAATTATATTGAAATTTACATTCCTTGTGTGCACTCTGGTGAGGCAATCATGGGAAGCTGAACATGGCAGTGTGCGAAGAACAACAGGCCTGGGATTTTAAAATGCCTACACGTATTCATTCATTTGTTCAGCATGTCTTGATCAATAGCTGTTGATGGTTCTGGGTCACATGGATTGTCCTGTGGATAACTGATGAGTTAACATTACTGTGTTTAATTTTCAGTAGTTGTTTTTTTTTTTTTTCCCAGTGTTTTGATGTCCTCTTAAGCAAATTTATTGGATGAACCAGTTTGCATTTGTCTGTGCTCAGAGTCTGGCCAATTTTAAAATCTTATTTAAACATGGGTGAAAGTAACTGAAGAAATAACGAGAGAGATTATTTTTTCATTCTATTAAAATCCACTGAATTATTTATTTTAATATTTATAGTTCTCAGTTGCTTTGTCTTAAGCACATCTTTTAGTGAAAATCAAGGGGTGGGGGCGTGCGTTTATAAAAACACACACTAGGAAGTGATTACTTGCAATACCAAAATACCCTTTCCTTTTGGAAAAGACTTTCCATACCTTGATGTCCTCTAGGAGAAAATGTAATACAAAAAGTTGCGATTCTTCTGTAATTGTGACATTTTGGAACATGTTCAACCTTTCTGTGCTTGAGTTTCCTTATCTGTAATATTAGGAAAAAGTCTTCTATTGTAGGGTGGGCTGTTGTGACACTTAAAAGTAGTCAATAGTTCTTACATTGCTATAAGCAAACTGAAAGGGTTGAGTTTCTGTAGGGGTAGAAACAGCTTCCTCTGCGATTTATCTGCACATCTCTCCTGGTGCTTACACTTTCTACCTTGTATCCAATTTATGTGCCTGTTTTTATCTTTTCTAGAGGGCAGGACAGGCCTTTTTCTGACTTTATCTTTATATTTCAGGTATCAGGTAGGGGTGTGTGTGTAGGATATTGACACTGCAAATTTTTGTTGAATGAATAAATACAGAAGTCGAGTTAGAAAAATGTATTCACATTACAGTTTATCAGAATACACCTGTTATCTGCTGTTACCTATCTATATAGCTGTGATACTATATATACTTCTAGAAGAATATATATTTTTAACTGGGTGCCTTGTTGGAGTTAAAAAATAGTGAAACTGTGCTCTTTAAAAAAAAGCATGAAATGCTAGAAATTAATTAACTTATGTTTCTTAGAATTTAAGTAAAAGTTTGTCTCAAGGCTAGACAAAATTTCAAAGCATTTAAGATTTGGTCTGGAGGCATGGCTTAAAGCAGTATAGGCAAAACCCTGAGTTCAAACCTCACTGTTTTTTTGGTGAAGTGAAAAGAGTTTCTTGCCATTGTTAGCTGCTTTGGAGAGCAAAGGCCTTTGGATAGACCAGGAATTGATGTAGGTGAGTGTTAGGCTGTTACTCAGTTTTTGTGTGTTTGGTTTTGTTACTCAGGTTTTTTTTTTTTTTTTGGTCTTGTCTTTTTTTTGGTGTCGGAATTGAACCCAGGGTCTCACACATGCTAGCAAGAGCTCTGCCACTGAGCTGCATCCCAGCGCTGTTACTCAGTTTTAGTTTTATTTTTCGGTGTATCTTAGTTGTAATTTCAAACACAAACAGAAATGGTAGCACTCATGCATGTTTAGTTACTTCTATCTGTTCTTTTTTATTTAATTATTTTGGGGAGGGGGGGGTCTCAATGTAATGCCCAGGCTGGCTTTCTCCTGAACCAAAGAGTTACTTCTGTCTTAGTTTCCCAAGTAGCGTGGATTATAGGCTGGTACCATAGCACCTAGCCTCATCTGTTCTTTTACTTCACTTACTGGATTTTGCTAGAACATGGTAAAAAGCAAGTAGTAAAGGTTTATCCACATTTATTTTGTACAGACTTATTGGTAGATCAGAGATTCAAATACTTTCCGTCATTCACTTGTTCAGCCAGTGTTAGGTGCCTTTTGTGGCCAGAACAGATTACTAAAATGCTATAAAGGCATATACCATAGTTTAGCAGATCAATTATAGGCACAAATAACTAGTCTTCAGATTGCCTGATACTTTGTCTGTTCAGGTTTGAGGATACAAAAAGCAATTTTAATGATTAAGAAAACATTTTCTATCAGGACTTCTTAGAAGTGTTAGAAAGCTATCAAAAGCTTCTGTAATTCAGCAATAACTGCATGGAGCATCTTTTTTTTTTTAACTTTGATATTTTTTGTGGTAGTGTTTTTCCTTGAACATTAACTCTAGTCTATCATTTTTGCTACCCCAGGAGTGTGTGGTGTCAAAATATTACTTGGATAGGCTTAGAATATAACTTTCCTCTTTCCCCTTTGCATTTGAAAGTCTGAGACCTTACAAAACAGCGTTTGTGGATTCTTCAGTTTAATTTTTCCATTTGCACTGTTGTTCACTTTTACTTAGTAGCGATCTCAAAAACAAGTTGATAAAGTGTAGAATGTGGAGTCATACAGATCTAGTCTCACCCAGAGTAAAGTGATCTGCCTTAGTTGTTGGGTTGGGCAATAGCAATGAACAAGTTTTTGATGTGCTTAGTGCTCCTTCCATTATACCAATAATCCAATACCAGTAACGTCTGTTCTGTGTGATGATTGATGCTTACTTAAAACAGAAATTGGAGTGGATGGAGAATGAGAGATCTCTTGATATTCAGTGTAGGTATTGAATTTAAAATACTCATAACATTAAATTTCTCCAATGAAAATATAGTTTTGAAAAAGTGATATGAAGGGTTGAGGGAATGACTCATGTGGTAAGAGTGCCTGCCTAGAATGCTCGGAGGCCTTGAGTTCAGATCCCAGTACCACCAAAAAAAAAAAAAAGAAAAAAAGTGAAGCTTGAAGCATGAGCTACATCAGTGATGTGGTGATCACTGGGAATTATTTAGTTTGATTAAGTTTTAGTTTTCTTGGTGAATATCTTAAATAAAAATGTCTTTGAAGTTATCTGGACTTCATGGAATTTAAGTATTTCAGTGATGGACATTTTTATTATTCCAGTGATTAGGAACCTCTGAGACCCAAACAAATAGATTAAATTATTTTACAAATTAGCTATTGCTTGTTTTTTGCCTGCTGTGTCTTTTGAATTTTCTTTTTCCTTTTTTTTCTTTGGGTACTGGTGTTTGAATTCAGGACCTCACAAGTGGAGGTACAGGAGGCACTGTACCACTTGAGCCACTCCACCAGCTTTTGAATTTTCTTTTCTCTCTTTTTTTTTTTTTTTGAGTCAGGGTCACCCTATGTAACCTGGCCTTGAATTTGCAAATACTGTGCCTCAGCCTCCTTAGTGTTGGGATTAT